GTCTGGCATAGCTGTAAAAATAACTTTCGCCTGGGAGGGGAGGCTGGGAACCCCGCGGCTCCTGATTCTTTTCAAAGACAATGCCCGGTGCCGCAGCAAGGAACACAGAGGCTACCGTGGCTCCTACAAATCTCCGCCAAAACCTTAATTTAAATTACTATCAAAGATTAAAGGCTAGTGTAAGCCTACGCTTCCTTGCAACCGCATTAATTATTAAGGCAACATGCAGAGCCCTGTAATAGGCTCCTGTCTGTTAGCACAGCGCTGCATTTATAGGTTAGGGTGGTGGCAGGAGGATGATGACTACATAGGATTTCTGGGTTTGCTGGTTTGGGGAAGAGGTGTCTTCTAAAACTGCAAGGTTAGGAAAAATCAGGGTGCCCTTCCCCTAGCAGAGGCCAGGAGGGAGGCGGGGGCAGCCCGGCTGCAGGGGAAGCAAGGACCCAGTGCTGAGCTTCCCCAGCTAACTGCAGCCCAAAATTAAATGCTGACACTGCCAGGAAGTGAAGACAAGGCAACCCCCCACCACCACCACCACCAAACAAAAAAATATCCTTTCCTCTACCCCTGGCAAAAAAAAACCCAACCCAAAACACAGCCTTGCTCCTGTTCTGCATAAGCATTACCCACTGTGGTAGGTTTTATGTAGCTGCAATGTTGTCTTGCTTTCATTTGGTTCCTTTTATTGGGAAGCCCTGTCCTTTCCACCGGTCAGGAACCAGACAGCTCCTACGAGGGACCTCTCTCTCATTCTTTAATGTAAGCCTAGTAAGACTTACATGATCGGTTATACACAACTTAATAAAATGGACCCACCATGCAAGGGAAGGGCACCTGAAAGTGTGGGTCTGAACCAAAGCCCTGGGGTCTGCCAGTGGATGCTGCATGTCCTTGGGCTGCAGCGAGCCTCCCCACTGTAACCCGCCGTAAGCAATGGCCACCCTGCCTGCCATGTGCACAAAGGACGTACGGAGCATGTCCAGACAGCTTGGCTGACGTATGGCAACACATTGCCCTGCGGTAGCCTTTTTTCCATCTCGGAACCCCAGGCTTGCTCCCGAGCTGACTCAATTCATCTCAGTTCGGGCCAAGCCTACTGCAGTGTTTAAATCCTGGTAAAAAACTTTAAAAAATGCAACTCGCAGGAGATGCAAGAGGGAAGGGGAGAGATCTGAAGTACCGCCAACGCATCTGCATACAGATCTGGGGAAGAGTGGGATGGGAAATTATTCCAAGAGGTGGGAAGCCAAGAAAGGGAGTGGACAAGGTGCCCCTGCCTGGGCGATGTGATGCCCTCAAGGAAGAGGCCATCTTCCTGGAAGAGGGAAAGCAGAAAGAATTGCGGTCATTCTGGCATCGTTTAAAACTGAACCCTGATGACAGCGATGGAGAAATCGGCACTGGTCACTTCCCCACCTCAGCTGGAGTCTGGCCTGGGAAGGGGACACAGCAGCAGGCCCTGGGCAGGCCACGCAGCATCCCCTCAGCGGCGGATATCACGATGACGACACCACCATTAAATTGTCAATCAAGTTTAATGCATCATAAAGAAGTAAAACTACATTGGCATATTTAAGACAAACACTTTTTTTTTCTATGCACACTATCCACTGGACAGTCCCCTTTTCAAAATAACTACTTTTAACAGTCCAAGACACTTCTTCAGAAATTCTTCACATATTCAACCTTCCACGCTTTTCCTTTTTTTTTTTATTTGTCTGAGAAGGAAAAAAAAATCATTAAACCTGAAAACATTTACATTGCAAGCCACGTTAGAATGCATAATTGGCATACAATAACCAATGTATAACAATTGTGTTTTACTTAGTTCACTTTGTTCATCAATAAAAGAATATAAAAATCTTGTTCAACCGAGTGTTGTGTATTAAAATAGATTTGTATAGTACTGCACAGTTTCTCCCGGAGTTGTGAAAATGGTTGAAGGGACCATGTGCTGCCTAGTGATGGGCGACGGAAAAAGCCAGTCCCTCATGGGTTTGTGTATTTAAAAATAATAATAATTAAAAAAAAAAATATTCGGCACCATGTGGTATGCTGATGTGAGAGACTAGCCTTGTGTCGTGCTCTGGTGGCTTCTTGCTTTCCTTAAGTTGTGCTAATTGACGGAGAACTCATAAACGACAGAGACGATGGCATCTGGGGGGAGGGGAGGGTGACGTTGAGAAAAACCGGGGTGCCCATCACTACCTTCCCGGGCAGGCCGCAGGGTGCCGGGGGGGGGGCCCTGTGGCCTACGGGGGGGGCCAGGCGGACCCTTGCAGTATCAGGAAGACTAGCTAGTGAAACAAGCAGGCGCACGGGGATTTTTCTCACGCTAATGCTAAACACTTCCCAAATGTGCTAAAATCCAACAAAAATCTTAAAAAGAAATCAAGTTTCCAAAAAAACCCCCAACAAATGCTTAAAACTTTCCACGGCCTGTCCCTCCCCCAGAACTCTTGATATTATCCAGTATGAGAAACAACCCCTTGAGGCAGTTGTTTTTTTTTTTTCCTGTACCATTTCAGCAGACATTTCTGCAAGGAAAAAAGAAAAATAATAATAATAAAGAAAAAAAATCACATTACATATTTTTAACAATAAAAATGCAGTACAAAAAATGTAAAGTTATCTTTTTGGCATATTATCTGTACTGGCAAGAAACAAACAACAGAACATTTATTTGCTTTTTTTCTTTAAAAAAAAAGAATCCAAAACTAACAAAAAAAGAAAACCCCCAAAATAATCTCTTTAAAAAACGAAACCCAACCTGCCAAAGATATCCACTATTATGGTTTATGCTAAATCTTGCACAAAAACTCCATGAGAAAAATACACCGATAGCAAAATAAGTAAAAAGGACCTGCAAAAAAGTAAGGAGTTTTACAGTCATACTTTTTTAAATACTTCGGAACGCATATACAGAAGCATCAGCATGAAAATACTTCAATATTTTACTAGAAACGCTAACTTCATACAGTTTCTTTATTTAAATATCTGCAATTCTCAACTCTAATAATACTGAAAAAAACC